AGAGAGAGAGAGAGGTTCATTATCTCCTCATCCCAATCTCATCATTAGAATGAGAATTCTGCATCCCAGTTTGTAGAAAAGCACCTGCCACATAATAGGTGGCTCAACAATGTTGAATAAATCACCACTCAAAGTTATTCAAATTTCATCTGTTCTCCCAAGTGTCACCTGTGCAGTACTGAGCTGAGGTTTTATGGTTTAGGTACACTTCAAGACATCTGGTTTTCAAATAATAAACCTTAGTTGTCATTCTGAGAAATCTGCCCCATGAGTAGAATTTAGTTTCTCCTTAACAGGACTTCCTTCAGTGTGTTGGCTCCTCTTGGTTTTGGCATTCCCCCTCTAAACATCCCACTCCATTCTCTCTCATTGGATGTTAACTTTGCCCTGCTATATCTTAGTCAAGGTACCATATTTAAAATTCTGCCTAAGAAAAACCATTATATCTTCTTGACATTAGATACCGTAACGTGGTTCTGGAGAGCAAGAAAATCAAAGACCCAAGAACTGCTTGCTCCTTTTGTCTGTCTTTATTTCCTCAACTTTCTGTTTTTGAGGTATTTAAATTTTTCCTATATCATAAGATCAATGTGATTTATAAAGTTTACTGACTTCGATGCTATGGGACAAAGTGATTGTCCCTGGAAATCATATCCTGCTTAGCAACATATCAAAGATGAAGTCCATATTCTGGACATGTAATTATGCAGGAAAAGAAAAAGTGTATCAGAGAAGGTTGAAGGTTGCAGGCATGGGAAATAAGTTGATCTCTACTCAAGTTACTGCCATGAATACAGAGGGAAGGACCTGCATCTGTTTCACATTGTAAATGCCTCAAGTGCCCAGAGCAGCACCACAAACCCAGGGAATGGCCAACAAATATTCTCGAAAAGGGTGCTAAGGCCATCTATAACCTCACCTTTGTGATGGTACTGCTAAAAGAGTGTCCATACTTGACTAACCATGCTAATTTCACATAATTCTAAATTAACTATTGAAAATAAATGAAATAACTCTCTACTATACTTCAAGCTCCTCTAAGCCAAAGATTTTGTCATATTCCCAGCTGTAAAAGCACATGATTGCAGTACTGGATGTGACCTTAGGGGTCAACTAGTTCTAATTTAACCTCCTTTAATGAGTAGATAATAATACACGCTATCTCAGTTGCTTTAGGTGTTTTGTTTGTCTCTAATTGCTGTCTCATTTCATATTTGAGAATTTCGAACTAAAAAACTCCAGTTTGAGTCTTTGGCAAGTAGTGAAATGACTCCACAGCCTTTGTTATATCCATTTGAAACCAGAAGCAAGGTGGCAAGATCAGCCTGCAGCAGCTTCTCCCTCACCCTGCCCCCCCGCTCCACCCCATATACACACACGCTGATGTGTCCAACTTCACTCACAGCTGGGCAGCCATGCCTGCTTGAAAAAGAAATTCATTTACATGCTCCTCATAGGTCTGGCTCTAGTGAGAAAAACATTTAGTAGTGTTTAATAAAATGCATAAAGTGATCACATTGACACTCACGTACTAACGAAAATGAGGAATACAGAAATATCACCATTCATCAGATTTCGAGAAATGAGCCCGCCAGGGCCCACCAGGGATCAATATTCTCTATCCTTGCCAAGGGGCCAGACAGGGACCTCAGAAGCAGGGGGTTTCATCAAAAAGGGCATCAGATCCAAAGTCAGGAGACCAAGGACTGCTCCTAGCTCTGAGACTTTTCCTCATCTGAAAACTGGAGAGTCTAGCAGAGGAAATCTCTCAGTGTGGTTCTACACCTACAGGTGCAGGCTCTGTAATACTCAGAAAAATTAACTTGGTCCTTCAGCTTCCCTTCCACCACTTCTTAGCTTTCCACATAGACATTCAAACTGGGACCTTTAAAAACTCTGCCCTCAAACTAAGGTGGTTCAGAGCAACACTTTGGCTGATATCACAAGACTCCCAGGGCAACGCTTCAGTGCTTCCTCAGCATATGCCAGTGCCCATTTTACAGGGGGGATTTATGGTCCTTCTCTCAGTACAGTGAGCCAAAGTTTTATAATATTCATTAAAAATCAGCACCACACGTAATAATATGGAATACTGCCTGTACACAAGGGGGCCAAGTTATAGGTGTTCAGGGAAACGTGGCAGAATTTCCTGGCCTTGGCAAGGGTAAATTTGCAGGCACCAGCATTACACTAACACAACCTTCTTTTATTGCAAACGTTAGTTGGGTCTAAGTCCTAATTACTTTCTGTAAAATCCTAACCACCATCAAGCTTTCTTCTGACAGGACAGCCACATGATGGCCTTAAAGTACAGCAGCAACACCCTGGCAGCCTCTAGACTGAGAAGTAGGGGAGAGGCTGAAAGCCAGTAGAAACTGGGGCTGAAGCTGGGGAGACTGGCTTTTCATTTACGCTTCGCAATTGCTCGCGCCCCTTCTAAAACTCTGGCGTGGGGGCTCAGAGGCTCACTCAGTGGGACAGGCCGAAGCCCTCCCGAAGGATTCAAATGTCAACATCGCTATTGGGTCGGGAACTACTCTTCTTCACCTCATTCCCATCCAAAAGGGGCCGGGTCACCTTTGTGGGGCCAGTGGAGCATCTTTTCTTGCCCCTGGGACCTGCTAGATAACGCAGGAATCCCAGGTCTGGAGGTCTGACTCCCCTTCCTGGGTGTAGTAGTGCCCTGGGCTCTGCCCTCCTCCCCACGTGCCACACCAGACCTCGCCACACACCCCCAACCCCTCTGCACCCCAGCCCTTGCCTTTCAAGGCCCCTGCGGGTCCCGGGCCAGGCCAGACGTTGTCAGGCGGTCAGCTGGGCGGGGAGAAGGGGGCTCTCCAGGCCGCGCGGCCGCACAAAGCCGGGAGAG